CAGCAAACGCTATATCTGGTCTGCTCCACTGGGACAAGTACAGCAAACTCCCTAGGGCTGACTGAAACGCTTCAGCGTTTTCGAACACAGTGTGTTCTACTTGCTGACTATCCTTCACAAAACTAGTCTCCATAGGATTTCTCACTCCTGCACAGTCGCTCATCCTGAATTTCTGAAGCAGTTGCTCAATTTTGCCTCTCTGGCTGAGCAAGAAGCTTCCACCCTGTGCTCTGACAATATCTATGCCTAGATAGGTTTTGACAGCACCAAGCTGATTAAGCTTGAACCGTTTACCTAGCTCCCTAGCAAACCTTTCTGCCTGTTTATCTGTCTCTGAAAAGAATAGCAAATCATCGACAAAAATCTGAACAAATTCATGTGTTGCACCTGATCCTTTCAAATAGAGGCAACTATCCGCAACACTTCTTTTGAAACCTAGCTCTTCTAAGGCTTCATTCAGGCACATGTTCCAGTTTCTGGCTGATTGACATAATCCATAGATGGATTTGTGTAATCTCCGCACAACACCTTGTCTCAAGATCTCAAACCCCTAAGGAGGAAGCATGTACAGCTCCTCCTGGAGATCTGAGTTCAGGTAGGCAACATCCACATCAAAGTGGTTTACCTTCCAACCTCTCTGTGCAGCAAAAGCTAAAAGTGTTCTCAGAGTCTCTGCTCATGAGGTTGGCGAATACACCTCAGTGAAGTGTATTCCCTTTCTCTGAGTGAATCCTCGAGCAACTAATCTGGCTTTATACTGTGGCTCTCCAGTGTCAGTGGGTTTCAAGCAGTAAATCCACCTGCAACTCACAGCCTGTTTGCCCGGTGGCAACTCTGTGAGTAAGAACACACCTAGGTCTTTCATGGACTTCATCTCTTTGTCCATTGCCCTGTGCCACTTACCTGCTTCTTCCTGAGGTAAACTCTGAATATCCTCGAAGGATTCAGGTTCACATCTGGCTGCACCTACCCAGACACCTGAAGCATCATACCGATCAGGAGGCCTCCTTGTCCTCGCTGATCTCCTCAGTGTGAACCCTGTGTCCCTGCTGACTCACTGGGTCCAGCTAAATCATCCTCAACCTCAGTGTCTTCCCCCTCTGACCTGCTGCGCCTCTTGGGCCTTACAACTGCTCCAGCAGGTGAGGAAGGCTCACTCTTTGGCTCAGACTTGACACTTGCCTGAGGAGGTGTTCTAGGTTCCCCCCTCTGAGGGATCCTGAGCTGTCCCTGCCTTGGACTCTGTCCCTGTGGTGGACCCTGTTGCTCTGGGCCACGGTCCCCAGCAACAAGTTCCTCTTCCTCCTCAATGTCTGAGTCATAGAACGGCTGTGGAATCACGTCTGGATTAGCGTGCAAACGTTTCCAACCAGCTTGTTCACAGAACTCAGCACTATTGCTAATCACCAACCTTGACTGGTTTCCACTTGGGTACGCAAACCGCCAGGCCTTGGAGCCAGGCTCATACCCCACAAAGATCATCCTTTTGGATCTTGGCTCACCTTTCTTGCGTAGAGCCTTTGGAATAAGAACCCAGGCCTCACAACCAAACACACGAAGGTAGTGCACCTTAGGTTTCTTTCCATGCAGCAAGAAATAAGGTGTATTTCCTACACTTCAGTTGTACACTCTGTTCTGCGTATGAACCACAAAGCGCCAGGCTTCAGACCAGAACCTCTGGGGTAGCCCTGCATCCCACAGAACAGACGCCACCGCTTCCTGTATCATCCTGTTCCTTCTCTCCGCGATCCCATTCTGCTGCAGAGAGTAAGGAGTGGTCAATCGGTGGCTAATCCCCTTCTCCCTAAAGAAATCCTGTAAAGCAGAACCGGTGAACTCAGCACCTCTGTCACTTTGAAAGCCACGCACTCTGGTGGAGAAGGTTACCTCAACTGCGGTGATCCAATCCCTGATCAGTTTAGCCGCCTCCCCTTTAGAGTGTAGAGCAGACCTTGAGAAATCATCAACCAGAAGCAGAGAGTACTTTGATCCCGCCAGTGACTCAACTGACATGGGGCCACACAAATCTGCATGAATTAACTCAGAGGGTTGAGTGGTCTGTCTCTCTGACTTTGGATAGGAGCATGTCACAACCTTGGCTTGCTTACAAGCATTACAATCTAAGAATTTGTCACAAGCCTTAAATTTGCACCCCTGTGTTAGCTCAGGTGCCTTCTGGACAAACCCCCAATTCAGATGTGCAAAACGTCTGTGCCAGATATGTGGACAACCATCGTGGGGCGCTACATTCACACATTGCCCCTTTGCATCTTCGGTGTCATCCTCTTCTGTAGAAACAGGCAACTCTACAACAAACAAATTGCCTTTGGACTGCACTGTGTACAAGTGCTTCCCATTCTTGGAAAACTCACATTGGGTACCTGCAAAAGACACACAAAAACCATCAGCAAGTAAATCATGCACACTTAACAAACAATTGGCTAAGCCGGGCACCGCATAAGCTTTGACCTCGTGTTTAAGAAAGGAACAGTAAAAAAGTCCTGACTGCATCAGCCGTCTTTTACTTCCATCCGCAAGCGTGACGTATTTATCAGTTTTTACTGTCCTGCAGTTCCTTAAAAGACCAGCAGATGGCATGAGAGTGTTTGTCACTCCTGAGTCGATGATGACAGTTAGAGTGTCTGGTTGTTGACATTCCTGGATCGCCATGGCAACACTCCCCCTCTCACTGCCCCCCCGACAGGGGCCTGTGCAGGCGTCCTTCACGTTTGCCATTGACGCTGCCAGGTGGAAATATGATGCCTTGTCTTTGTTGTCTCCACGTCCGGTGCCTTTGGAAGCTTTCCCACGCCTCTGCTGCTGAGAAGCGGAGCTTATCTGCTTTCCGGGCAGCTGCTGCATTCCTCTCTGACTGTTCTTGGGCTCCTGTGCTTCCATTGGACAGTTACGGATAAGATGTGTGTGACTGCCACAGCGAAAACATCTCTTGCTAAAGGCAAAAGCTTTCACAGTATGCTCACTGTGGCCTGCTGGCCCCCCCCACTCCTCCTAGGGGTACAGCCTGTCGGCTCTCTAGCAGTCCCTTTTCTCCTTATCTCTTCATCAATCAAGTGCCCAGAGATATAATCCAAAGTCAAATCCTGAATCGGCATAGTCTCCATCGTTAGAACCAAGTTCTCATAGATCTTATCCAAAGAGCTCAGCAAGGCATAAGCCTTCAACTCCTCAGGAAAAGGGACGTTGAGCAAACACAGCTTGCTGAAGATAGACAGCACCTGTGCAATGTGCTCATGTATCGGTTCCCCTGGGGCCAGCCTTTTCTCAAACAAGGCACGCAACACATGCACCTTAGCCCCTGCTGTTGTGCGTTGGTGTATTCTTTGCAACGCAGTCCAAATCTGATGACAGGTCCGCAAACCGTCAATATGAGGCAACTGATTAGCCTCAAGTGCCATGACAACGTGGGACATGGCCTTCTGGTCTTTCTTGGCTGCTGCAGCCGCACGCTCTTGATCAGCAGCCCCTGCCCCAGCAGCAGCCACAAAGGGGTCCTGCTGCGTGCACTCCCAAAGCTGCTTCCCTCCCAGCCAAAAGTACATTCTTTTCTGCCAATCTTCCCAATTACTCCCATTGAGTCTTTCAAAGGGGATATTGAAGCTCTCAAAGACTTGTCCCTGGGACTGAGCCATTGCCTCCCTTCCCTTCTGTTGGCCTTTTGCAAGAGTAGCTAATAATACTCACTCTGCAGCCAAACCGAGCGCTCCGGACGACGTGGCTCCAAGCTCCCTCTCCATCAGCCTCCTCCGATCTGCCCTTTGAAGCCTTGGCAGTCGATCAAGTTGACGTTCAGTCTTTTAAAGCCTTTCAAGCCCTTTCACACACTCTTGGCATTGACCCATAACCTATTCGAAGATTTATTGCTTTATTGCCCAGCCACACTTCCCTGCGAACCTCTGCTGATAGCGTCTGCAGCTTCTGTTTTTCCAGCGTAGCTTCGGGAGAAAGCAATTAAGCAGAAAGCACAGCGTCTGTGCGAGTAAGGGCAGTAAATCAGTCCAGACGTTGCTTCTATGCTAGAAGCTCTTTATTGTCGCAAAACAGCATATTTACAATCCAAGCAAACCATCAGTGTCTAGCTGCATTTTCTCTGACTCCTTTCTCTCTCAGTGCAGCGACCGTTCTGAAATCGAAAGCACTCTGTTGACGTAACGTCCTGGCTTACTTCCCTTGTAAGCCCTTCCCCCCTCAAGCATGAGACACAGAAGGTTAACCATTCACTACACCCAACAATTGCTGTCCCAGGTTATAGAAGCACTTGCATCCTAATTGTTCCGCCAGAGCATGCAAACCAACAAACACATCAAATTTAAGCAGTATACTGTTGTTTAATTCCACTAAAGGGGCGCGGGGGGCGCTGTGGGTTAAACCACAGAGCCTAGGACTTGCCGATCAAAAGGTCGGTGGTTTGAATCTCCGCAACGGGGTGAGCTCCCATTGCTCGGTCCCTGCTCCTGCCAACCTAGAGGTTCGAAAGCACGTCAAAGTGCAAGTAGATAAACAGGTAAGGTAAACGGTGTTTCCGTGCACTGCTCTGGTTCGCCAGAAGCAGCTTAAGTCATGCTGGCCACATAACCCGGAAGCTGTACGTTGGCTCCCTCGGCCAATAAAGCGAGATGAGCGCTGCAACCCCAGAGTTGGTTACGACTGGACCTAATGGTCAGGGGTCCCTTTACCTAATTCCAGTAAGCTACCGGTAATTCTTAAGCCATTAATATTCCCTTCAATCTCTTAACCTCCTGCTTTAGAGGAAAGGAAAGATCTGCTGGGCAAAGTGTCTTTCAGCAGCATATTCTAACAGACATAGGGGGAAATAAATAAGTTGCACTATGGGAGACAAACAATTTTAATGAATGAAATGACACATTTAGTAGAGAGCCAACGGAAGCTTTCCTTCTCCTTTGGGGTTCCAACGAGACTTTCTCCCCTTGATTTCAGCAGATGATACACAGGTAACTGAGAATGAAGGAGAACGTTGTGCGATGTTGTCAATGGAGCCTGAGCACAAAGAGATGAACGAGAATGTTATACAGGGAACTCAGGTGGAAGAGAGACCCTATCAATGTAGCCAATGTGGAAAAAGCTTCAAACACAAGTCGAACCTTTATCAGCACCAAAGAGTTCACAAAGAAGAGGCCCCCTATATATGTAAGCAGTGTGGGAAAAGCTATAAGAACAAGACGTCCCTTCTTCTGCATGAAAGAAGTCACACGGGAGAGAAGCCCTATAAATGTGAGGAATGTGGAAGAAGCTTCAGTCGTAAGTCAAACCTTACCTCGCACCAAGTTAGCCACACTAAAGAGAAGCCTTATAAATGCTCAGAATGCGGGCAGAGCTTCAGTCAAAAGTGCAACTTGAAAGTACACCAGAGAACCCACACAGGGGAGAGGCCATACAAATGCTCAGAATGTGGCAAGAGTTACCTTACTCAACCCAACCTTACAGTGCATCAAAGAATCCACACGAAAGAGAAGCCTTATCAATGTGAAAAATGTGGGAAGATCTTCAATCAAAAGAGCACTCTGAACGTACACCAGAGAACCCACACAGGGGAGAGGCCATACAAATGCTCAGAATGTGGGCAGAGCTTCAATCAAAAGAGCACCTTAAAAGTACATCAGAGAATCCACTCAGGGGAGAGGCCACACAAATGCTCAGAATGTGGCAAGAATTACATTACCCGATCCAACCTTAGACTGCATCAAAGAATCCACAGGAAAGAGAAGCCCTATAAATGCTCAGAATGTGGGCAGAGCTTCGATGGTAGAACACATCTCAACGCACATCAGAGAACCCATGAAGTGGAGAAAACATACAAATGCTCAAAATGCGACAAGGACTTTACTTCTCCGTTTGATCTCATTAAACATAACAGGATGCACATTGAAGAAGGACCTCACAAATGCTCAGAATGCGGAGAGAGCTTCAGGTGCAGCACCTCCCTTATGGCACATCAGAGAATTCATAGAGGAGAGGAGCCAGATTTTGGCCTGAGCCATGCTTCTGAACCAAGTCTTGTTGAACATAATGTAACCCGCCCTGAAAAGAAATGTTTTGTATGTTCCATTTGTTCCAAAACATTTGGGTGCAGCGGAAGCCTTGGGTTACATCAACTGAAGCATAAATAGGAGACATCGCAGAGCTTCTCAGGCTGAAGCAAGACCCTTTTTAAAATCTCCAATTAATCAGCACAAGACAATTCCCACCAAATAGCCCACAAGTGTGGGGAAATCTTTTATGATAGTGCACTCATTTCACGTCAGTTGAATCGGCACAAGACAGCAATGGAGAGGCAGAGAAATGTGGCAAATGCTTCTGTTTCTCCATTCTTCTACTTCAGTGTATTACTCCAATCACTGGTACTTCTTTTTAAATGCATGTTTTACTTGGCACTTGCTTCAGTAAGTATTTTAATGTGTTTGTTGTATTCACGAATAAATTTTGTAGGTTTTTACCCCTTTTGCTTCCCTTTTATTACTCTCGCTCCCTGTCAAGGTTGCGGTTTTAAACATACTGTAACAACGTTTATTAAACAGGTTTTCTCATTGCACATGGTTGTAGAACCTCTGGCCTGTGGGCCAATCTGTCTTCCCCAAGCCATGCCTTCTTATTTTTAATGTTCCTATGTTGAAAATATATATGAAAATAAATTTTGGATTTAAATTTTAAAAGAGAACAGGAAGGCTAGAAATCAAAGTGCAAGGAGAGAGGGAATCTTTTTCTCTCAGCTGCCTGGTTGCTGGTCTTGGCTCAGTTTTCCTCCCTGTGAACTTCATTTCCCAGCAGCCTTTGCAAATCCCTCAGAAACAATCAGCAGCTGTTCTCATTTACCTGAACATGTGCACAGCTGGGGGAGAAGAAATCTGGGATGCAAGAGGCAAGTCATAAATTCAGCACCACCTGTCTAGAGCTCAAGAGAAAACGTCATGGGATCTTGTAGGACAAGCTTAACATAGAGTTCCCATTTCTGCTCTGCTTCCTGGGCGCTGACATCCTAGCTTTTAATCTTCCTCCCCCAGAGTGAGTGCTGCATTGGGGCTGGATAGTAGACCCATTTTCCTTTCTACTTTCCTGGGTGAGTTAAAGGGATTCTTTCATTTCTTCAGAGGAGGATGGAAGCTGAATCTGGGAGGTGCCTAGTGGTGGCAGTGGAGTTTGGTGAGGAAAGTGTTGTTGCAATAGGCAACAGACTTTGGTTGAAACCCACAATATTAAGAAGAAAGGGCGTTACTGTACAGGTTTCGAAACTTTGCATGTTGGTGACAACGCCTTTTAGACATGCATCATTTTTCGACGCAGCAATTCAGTTTTTCTAGCAAACTGCAGGTTAAACTAACCCCTTTCCAGCCCCAGGAGGAACATGGGGAGAATTCGCACAATATACCTACATACTTCAGCCAACACATTATTGTGTGGCGACAAACAGTTTAGAAAACTCTGGGTTAATGTATCTGGGAGTGGGAGGCGGAAGGAGGGGCTTTCGCAAGTTTAGTTTCAGTTTCAGTTTCCCTTCTTTCTTGCTTGATCATCTTCCGTAAAGGAGCTTTGGCATTCAATGTTTCCTTATTTGGAGGTGTCCTTGAAGCAGAAATATTAGGTTTGAATACTGCACTGCTGGGGAGCTGGACCTCAAAGTCCCTGCCAGGAAGCAGCAGCATCCTTAGGAGTAGGTGTACTTTGCCGGTGTAAAAAAAAATAAATGACCACATTAATGCCATACATTTAAAGGTACCTCTTTAAACAGTCATGGCTTCCTCCAAGCATTCATTTCATTCATTCATTTTACTAACGTATATACCGCTTGCTACAGCAAAATATTGAAGCAGTTGACACAATGTACAATGATCCCCTCTCAAGCCTAAAACCAAGTACAGATTGTCAAAATATAGTAAGAGCCAATCAATCAAAACATTAAGACTGGAATAATGCCTGTGTTCTATTACAATGCTTCTTTAGATAAAGCCATAGGGCCCATATTTAAACCCGTATTTGCGGTTGATCTTAACTACTGCTTGTTCCTTGCAAAATGAATAGAAAAGAATACAGTGGTACCTCAGGTTAAGTACTTATTTCGTTCCGGAGGTCTATTCTTAACCTGAAACTGTTCTTAACCTGAAGCACCACTTTAGCTAATGGGGCCTCCCGCTGCCGCCGGAGCACAAGTTCTATTCTCATCCTGAAGCAAAGTTCTTAACCAGAGCTACTATTTCTGGGTTAGCGGAGTCTGTAACCTGAAGCATATGTAAACCGAGGTACCACTGTACATGCACAAATAGATGGGGGTCACGGTGTAGTGTTTGGAGGAAATCTGCTTAACGCAGGCATCCCCAAACTCGGCCCTCCAGATGTTTTTGGGACTACAATTCCCATCATCCCTGACCACTGGTCCTGTTAGCTAGGGATGGTGGGAGTTGTAGAGTCCCAAAACATCTGGAGGGCCAAGTTTGGGGATGCCTGGCTGAACCCGAGGCCCTTCCTCATAGCTCTCTGGGTGTGGGAATATCCCTAATATCTTGGGTGTCTCTGTTACATATCCCACATTCTCTTACAGAGTTAAGAGACCTGTATCTGTGACCCATGGAGGACCATGACTCTATGAATCCTCACTGGCAGTGCTTTTTTGCGGGGGACGCACAGGTACGCAGACCCCTAAACATTTTGTGAATCCAAGTCTGGCCTCGTTACGGGGCAGTATTTCAATATGAGTAGGAAAATGAAAGTACCCCTAAACATTTTTCAAGGAAAAAAGCACTGCTTACTGGTATGAAGAATCGGGAGACGTCAAAGTCATGCTCTCCTTCCAGGTGAAAAGATTAAGAAGCAGAGGCCAATGGCCCATCTAGTCCAGCATCCTGTTCTCTCAGTGGCCAAACAGATGCCTGTGGGGAAACATGCAAGCATAAGAGCTCTCTCCTCTTCTGTGGTCCCCCAAAACTCGTATTCAGACGCATTACCTCCTCTGACTGGGGAGACAGAACAGAGCCGCCATGGCTACCGGCTGTTGACAGCCTTCACTTCCATGAATATAATAATAATAATAATAATAATAATAATAATAATAATAATAATAATTAATAATTTATTATTTGTACCCCGCCCATCTGGCTGGGGTTCCCCAGCCACTCTGGGCAGCTTCCAACAAAAATTAAGAATACATTAAAATGTCACACATTAAAAACTGCCCTAAACAGGGCTGCCTTCAGATGTCTTCTAAATGCCACTACCGAGACGACCCTCTGCCTGGTTTCCAGTAGCTTTGCTTCTCGCAATGAGGGAACCGCCAGAAGGCCCTCAGCCCTGGACCTCAGCGTCCCGGCAGAACAATTGGGTGGAGACGCTCCTTCAGGTATACTGGGCTGAGGCCAATCATATTTTAAAGCGATCTAAATTGGTGGGCGTTTAGTTACCACTGGCTGTTATGCTGCCAGAGGGTTGGTTGTGGGGCCAAAGGTTGAGCTCTGCGGCAGACCCACCCGCTTACTACCAATTAATAGTGCGGTGGACTCACCCCACTAACTTAAGGCTACCAGACATCCCCGTTTCCCGGGGACAGTCCCCGGATTTACAAATCAGTCCCCTCACAAAATCCTATCATTCCCATTGAAATTGAAAAGTGTCCCTGGATTCATTGAAAAAAATCTGGCAATCTTATGCTAACTGCCCCCCATTAAATATAGCACACACTCTTCACTGTACGCCAATTGCACAAATTTCTATAATTAACCACAGTTTGTCCTGTGAGGGAAAACATAGTAGATTAGAGTCTCGGGCAGGACTTGCTCAAACATGCATGGAAAGTTTTATTAAACTAAAAGAAGTTTGTGAAATAAAGTGGGTCAGGAAATGCATTCTTTCAAGTAAAAGTTAACTTTTATAAAGATGCCACAGGCTTAAACATAATGCTCTAGGCACCGCTCTTCTTAAACTTTAGTTGCTAAAAGTCAGTTGGTACACCTCAGTTAGATGTTTAGGTTCTAGAAAAGGTGGTCAAATGCTTGGTTCAGTTTCTGCTACTTAGTTATGACAGGTGGTTCAGCTAAATACATTTAATACAGCACAGCTTCCTTTGTGGATTAATACTTTGGTCCGTGAGTGAGGGGCACTTTTCTTCAGTTACATACTCTCTTAATCATCTCATTCCTGAGGTATTCCAAATGGAATCATAGACCCAGGGGATTCCCTCACCCCTTGTGACTGGTTTAGGACTCTTCTTTACCTAGAAGAACTCGAGACCCATGGAGTCTGTATTCCCACAGCTTCTCCTCTCCTGGCTCAGTCTCAGCCCTTCCAGAACATTCCTGTCTGTCTACATTTCCCAAACCCTCAATACTTTCTCCCTATATGTAAAGCTGTGAGGCTCTCTCCTCTTGCTGACATCCTCAGTGTGGATGATCAACTAAAATATGAACCAGTTCTCCATCAAATCCTATCCTGAACCCTGTCCATCTTCTCTACTCCAGCCCTATCTAACTCTCTCCCTCAGAAATGGCTCCTTTTATTTTCCCTCCAAAAGTGCTGCTCCTCCCCCCTCGGTGTCTAGTTGACTCTGTAGCCAATCAGCAAAAGGCTCCAGCCCTCTGGTGGAATTTCTTGGGAACTGCACCACCAGACTCTAGTCTGGCTCTGCTGGCCATAACACGCCCTGTCCCTCTAGTGGTTGAGAGGGCCATGTGCAGGCCACAGTAGACTAGATGAAGAAGAAGAGTAGTTTGGATTTTATATTACGCCTTTCACTCCCTTTAAGGAGTCTCAAAGCGGCTAACATTCTCCTTTCCCTTCCTCCCCCACAACAAACACTCTGTGAGGTGAGTGGGGCTGAGAGACTTCAGAGAAGTGTGACTGGCCCAAGGTCACCCAGCAGCTGCATGTGGAGGAGCGGGGAAGCGAACCCGGTTCACCAGATTATGAGACTACCGCTCTTAACCACTACACCACACTGGCCTCTTCCATATTGTTTTATCTAGCCCTCAACAAGGGATTCCACATGTCTTCAGGGTCCGAAGGTCCTGGAGAGCGCTGGGGGCACCCGCATCAAAATAGCTGCTATGGCGGGTTGGAGAAGCAAGACCCTTTGGGGGGCATTAATGCTGTGAGCCCCTCCATCGGAGCTCAGGTGGCTTAGATGTGTAAATAAACCATTTATTATCAAGATACCAGAGTCTCAGCTGTCCCTCATTCTGAGGAAACTGAGCCCTCGGTAAGCGCATGGAACCCCTGGGAATACCGCACCACTTGGAGATTGGGTGTGTGTGCAATAAACGGGCACACCTTAAATGTGTGGTGTGAACAAACACAGCTCTAATTTCACACTTGCAGAGGGTGAGTGAAAAAGATGGTGTGGACTGTTGCTATTGAAAAGATTCCTTTCTGCTGTTTCAGTTGATACCGAAGGAGAAGGAAGAGGAGCCTGCAATTCTCCCTAATGCAGGCCAGACTCCAGTTTTAGTTGAGCAGAGGCAGCTGCAGAAGGAAAACAAGGAGAACGAGGAGGGCAGGATTGTAGGCAAGTTCCATCTTCCCCTACCCCTTTGCCCTCCCCCCACTTGACTAAAGGCCCACCGTTTATATCTCACCTCCTTGCATATCCCCTCCCCCTGCAGTTCACCAGGGTCAGCCACCTGTTCCTCATGCTGCAGTTGGCATGGCCACCTACTGGTCACCACATGAACTGCAGAGCGTGGTAATACCTTACATTCTTATGTATCTAGGGAGGCAAGATAATCAGGAATTCTGCCAATGCATTCTGAATACCTGATTATCTTTCATAAGAAAATAAAACCCTGTCTTGGGTTAGACAAGGACGTGAATCCTAATTGTTCCACCAGAGCACGCAAACCAACAAACACTTAAAACTTCAGCAGTATAAAAAAGGTAAAGGGACCCCGGACCATTAGGTCCAGTCGTGACCGGCTCTGGGGTTGCGGTGCTCATCTCGCTTTATTGGCTGAGGGAGCCGGCGTACAGCTTCCGGGTCATGTGGCCAGCATGACTAAGCCGCTTCTGGCGAACCAGAGCAGCGCACGGAAACACTGTTTACCGTCCCGCCAGAGCAGTACCTATTTATCTACTTGCACTTTTACGTGCTTTCAAACTGCTAGGTTGGCAAGAGCAGGGACCGAGCAACGGGAGCTCACCCCGTCGCGGGGATTCAAACCACCGACTTCTGATCGGCAAGTCCTAGGCTCTGTGGTTTAACCCACAGCGCCACCCGCATATACTGTTGTTTAATTACAGTAAACTACCGGTTATTATTAAACTATTAATATTCCCTTCAATCTCTTAAGCTCCTGTTTTAGAGGAAAGGAATGATCTGCTGGGCAAGGTGTCTTTCAGCAGCATATTCCAACAGACAAAGGGAAAATAAATAACTTGCACTATGGGAGATAGCCAATTTCAATGAATGAAATGACACATTTAGTGGAGAGCCAATGGAAACTTTTCTTCTCCTTTGCGGTCCCATCAAGACTTTCTCCCCTTGATTTCAGCAGATGATATGCACATAACTGAGAATGAAGGAGAAGGTTGTGCGAAGTTCCCAACGGGGCCTGAGCACAAAGAGATGAACGAGAATGTTATACAGAGAACTCAGGTGGAAGAGAGACCCTATAAATGTAGCCAATGTGGAAAGAGCTTCAAACACAGGTCAAACGTTTATGAACACCAAAGAGTTCACACAGGAGAGGCCCCCTATTTATGTATGTGGTGTGGGAAAAGCTATAAGACCAAGACGTCCCTTGTTCTGCATGAAAGAAGTCACACGGGAGAGAAGCCCTATAAATGTGAGGAATGTGGAAGAAGCTTCAGTCGTAAGTCAAACCTTGCCTCGCACCAAGTTAGCCACACTAAAGAGAAGCCTTATAAATGCTCAGAATGCGGGCAGAGCTTCAGTCATAAGTCCAACTTGAACGTACACCAGAGAACCCACACAGGGGAGAGGCCATACAAATGCTCAGAATGTGGCAAGAGTTACCTAACTCAACCCAACCTTAGGGTGCATCAAAGAATCCACACAAAAGAGAAGCCTTATAAATGTGAGAAATGTGGAAGTAGCTTCATTCAAAAGAGCACTTTGAACGTACACCAGAGAACCCACACAGGGGAGAGGCCATACAAATGCTCAGAATGTGGCAAGAGTTACAGTACCCGATCCAACCTTAGGCAGCATCAAAGAATCCACACTAAAGAGAAGCCTTATAAATGCTCAAAATGTGGGCAGAGCTTCAATCGTAGCACACATCTGAAAAGACACCAGAGAACCCATGAAGTGGAGAAAACATACAAATGCTCAAAATGCGACAAGGACTTTACTTCTCCGTTTGATCTCATTAAACATAACAGGATGCACATTGAAGAAGGACCTCACAAATGCTCAGAATGCGGAGAGAGCTTCAGGTGCAGCACCTCCCTTATGGCACATCAGAGAATTCATAGAGGAGAGGAGCCAGATTTTGGCCTGAGCCATGCTTCTGAACCAAGTCTTGTTGAACAAAATATAACGCGCCCTGAAAAGAAATGTTTTGTATGTTCCATTTGTTCCAGAACATTTGGGTGCAGCGGAAGCCTTGGGTTACATCAACTGAAGCATAAATAGGAGACATCGCAGAGCTTCTCAGGCTGAAGCAAGACCCTTTTTTAAATATCCAATTAATCAGCACAAGACAATTCCCACCAAATAACCCACAAGTGTGGGGAAAGCTTTTATGATAGCGCACTCATTTCACGTCAGTTGAATCGGCACAAGACAGCAATGGAGAGGCAGAGAAATGTTGCAAATGCTTCTGTTTCTCCATTCTTCTACTACAGTGTATTACTCCAATCACTGGTACTTCTTTTTAAATGCATGTTTTATTTGGGACTTGCTTCAATAAGTATTTTAATGTGTTTGCTCTGTTCATCAATAAATTTTGTATGTTTTTTATTCCTTTGGCTTCTCTTTTTATTACTCTCGCTCCCTGTCAAGGTTGCAGTTTTAAACATACTGTAACAACGTTTATTAAACAGGTTTTCTCATTGCACATGGTTGTAGAACCTCTGGCCTGTGGGCCAATCTGTCTTCCCTATTTCCCTTCTTATTCCCTTCTTATTTTTAATGTTCCTATGTGGAAAATATATGAATATAAATTTTGGATTTAAATTTTAAAAGAGACCAGGAAGGCTAGAAATCAATGTGCAGGAGGAGAGAGAGGGAATATTTCTCTCTCAGCTGCCTGGTTGCTGGTCTTGGCTCAGTTTTCCTCCCTGTGAACTTCATTTCCCAGCAGCTTTTGCAAATCCCTCAGAAACAATCAGCAGCTGTTCTCATTTACCTGAACATGTGCACAGCTGGGGGAGAATAAGTCTGGGATGCAAGAGGCAAGTCATAAATTCAGCACCACCTGTCTAGAGCTCAAGAGAAAACGTCATGGGATCTTGTAGGACAAGCTTAACATAGAGTTCCCATTTCTGCTCTGCTTCCTGGGCGCTGACATCCTAGCTTTTAATCTTCCTCCCCCAGAGTGAGTGCTGCATTGGGGCTGGATAGTAGACCCATTTTCCTTTCTACTTTCCTGGGTGAGTTAAAGGGATTCTTTCATTTCTTCAGAGGAGGATGGAAGCTGAATCTGGGAGGTGCCTAGTGGTGGCAGTGGAATTTGGTGAGGAAAGTGTTGTTGCAATAGGCAACAGACTTTGGTTCAAGCCCACAATATTAAGAAAAGGGCGTTACTGTACAGGTTTCGAAACTTTGCATGTTGATGACGCCTTTTAGACATGTATCATTTTTCGATGCAGCAATTCAGTTTTTCTAGCAAACTGCAGGTTAAACTAACCCCTTTCCAGCCCCAGGAGGAACATGGGGAGAATTCGCACAATATACTACATACTTCAGCCAACACATTATTGTGTGGCGACACACAGTTTAGAAAACTCTGGGTTAATGTATCTGGGAGTGGGAGGCGGAAGGAGGGGCTTTCGCAAGTTTAGTTTCAGTTTCAGTTTCCCTTCTTTCTTGCTTGATCATCTTCCGTAAAGGAGCTTTGGCATTCAATGTTTCCTTATTTGGAGGTGTCCTTGAAGCAGAAATATTAGGTTTGAATACTGCACTGCTGGGGAGCTGGACCTCAAAGTCCCTGCCAGGAAGCAGCAGCATCCTTAGGAGTAGGTGTACTTTGCCGGTGTAAAAAAAAAAAAATGGCCACATTAATGCCATACTTTTAAAGGTACCTCTTTAAACAGTCCTGGCTTCCTCCAAGCATTCATTTCATTCATTCATTTTACTAACGTATATACCGCTTGCTACAGCAAAATATTGAAGCAGTTGACACAATGTACAATGATCCCCTCTCAAGCCTAAAACCAAGTACAGATTGTCAAAATATAGTAAGAGCCAATCAATCAAAACATTAAGACTGGAATAATGCCTGTGTTCTATTACAATGCTTCTTTAGATAAAGCCATAGGGCCCATATTTAAACCCGTATTTGTGGTTGATCTTAACTACTGCTTGTTCCTTGCAAAATGCATAGAAAAGAATACAGTGGTACCTCAGGTTAACTACTTATTTCGTTCCGGAGGTCTATTCTTAACCTGAAACTGTTCTTAACCTGAAGCACCACTTTAGCTAATGGGGCCTCCCGCTGCCGCCGAGCCGGCGGAGCATGATTTATATTCTCATCCTGAAGCATAGTTCCTAACCCGAGGTACTATTTATGGGTTAGCGGAGTCTATAACCTGAAGCATATGTAAACCGAGGTACCACTGTACATGCACAAATAGATGGGGGTCATGGTGTAGTGTTTGGAGGAAATCTGCTTAACGCAAGCATCCCCAAACTCGGCCCTCCAGATGTTTTTGGGACTACAATTCCCATCATCCCTGACCACTGGTCCTGTTAGCTAGGGATGGTGGGAGTTGTAGAGTCCCAAAACATCTGGAGGGCCAAGTTTGGGGATGCCTGGCTGAACCCGAGGCCCTTCCTCATAGCTCTCTGGGTGTGGGAATATCCCTAATATCTTGGGTGTCTCTGTTACATATCCCACATTCTCTTACAGAGTTGGGAGACCTGTATCTGTGACCCATGGAGGACCATGACTCTATGAATCCTCACTGGCAGTGCTTTTTTGCGGGGGACGCACAGGTACGCAGACCCCTAAACATTTTGTGAATCCAAGTCTGGCCTCGTTACGGGGCAGTATTTCAATATGAGTAGGAAAATGAAAGTACCCCTAAACATTTTTCAAGGAAAAAAGCACTGCTTACTGGTATGAAGAACCGGGAGACGTCAAAGTCATGCTCTCCTTCCAGGTGAAAAGATTAAGAAGCAGAGGCCAATGGCCCATCTAGTCCAGCATCCTGTTCTCTCAGTGGCCAAACAGATGCCTGTGGGGAAACATGCAAGCATAAGAGCTCTCTCCTCTTCTGTGGTCCCCCAAAACTCGTATTCAGACGCATTACCTCCTCTGACTGGGGAGACAGAACAGAGCCGCCATGGCTACCGGCTGTTGACAGCCTTCACTTCCATGAATATAATAATAATAATAATAATAATAATAATAATAATAATAATAATAATTTATTATTTGTACCCCGCCCATCTGGCTGGGGTTCCCCAGCCACTCTGGGCAGCTTCCAACAAAAATTAAGAATACATTAAAATGTCACACATTAAAAACTGCCCTAAACAGGGCTGCCTTCAGATGTCTTCTAAATGCCACTACCGAGACGACCCTCTGCCTGGTTTCCAGTAGCTTTGCTTCTCGCAATGAGGGAACCGCCAGAAGGCCCTCAGCCCTGGACCTCAGCGTCCCGGCAGAACAATTGGGTGGAGACGCTCCTTCAGGTATACTGGGCTGAGGCCAATCATATTTTAAAGCGATCTAAATTGGTGGGCGTTTAGTTACCACTGGCTGTTATGCTGCCAGAGGGTTGGTTGTGGGGCCAAAGGTTGAGCTCTGCGGCAGACCCACCCGCTTACTACCAATTAATAGTGCGGTGGACTCACCCCACTAACTTAAGGCTACCAGACATCCCCGTTTCCCGGGGACAGTCCCCGGATTTACAAATCAGTCCCCTCACAAAATCCTATCATTCCCATTGAAATTGAAAAGTGTCCCTGGATTCATTGAAAAAAATCTGGCAATCTTATGCTAACTGCCCCCCATTAAATATAGCACACACTCTTCACTGTACGCCAATTGCACAAATTTCTATAATTAACCACAGTTTGTCCTGTGAGGGAAAACATAGTAGATTAGAGTCTCGGGCAGGACTTGCTCAAACATGCATGGAAAGTTTTATTAAACTAAAAGAAGTTTGTGAAATAAAGTGGGTCAGGAAATGCATTCTTTCAAGTAAAAGTTAACTTTTATAAAGATGCCACAGGCTTAAACATAATGCTCTAGGCACCGCTCTTCTTAAACTTTAGTTGCTAAAAGTCAGTTGGTACACCTCAGTTAGATGTTTAGGTTCTAGAAAAGGTGGTCAAATGCTTGGTTCAGTTTCTGCTACTTAGTTATGACAGGTGGTTCAGCTAAATACATTTAATACAGCACAGCTTCCTTTGTGGATTAATACTTTGGTCCGTGAGTGAGGGGCACTTTTCTTCAGTTACATACTCTCTTAATCATCTCATTCCTGAGGTATTCCAAATGGAATCATAGACCCAGGGGATTCCCTCACCCCTTGTGACTGGTTTAGGACTCTTCTTTACCTAGAAGAACTCGAGACCCATGGAGTCTGTATTCCCACAGCTTCTCCCTCTCCTGGCTCAGTCTCAGCCCTTCCAGAACATTCCTGTCTGTCTACATTTCCCAAACCCTCAATACTTTCTCCCTATATGTAAAGCTGTGAGGCTCTCTCCTCTTGCTGACATCCTCAGTGTGGATGATCAACTAAAATATGAACCAGTTCTCCATCAAATCCTATCCTGAACCCTGTCCATCTTCTCTACTCCAGCCCTATCTAACTCTCTCCCTCAGAAATGGCTCCTTTTATTTTCCCTCCAAAAGTGCTGCTCCTCCCCCCTCGGTGTCTAGTTGACTCTGTAGCCAATCAGCAAAAGGCTCCAGCCCTCTGGTGGAATTTCTTGGGAACTGCACCACCAGACTCTAGTCTGGCTCTGCTGGCCATAACACGCCCTGTCCCTCTAGTGGTTGAGAAGGCCATGTGCTGGCCACAGTAGACTAGATGAAGAAGAGGAGTTTGGATTTGATATCACGCCTTTCACTCCCTTTAAGGAGTCTCAAAGCGGCTAACATTCTCCTTTCCCTTCCTCCCCCACAACAAACACTCTGTGAGGTGAGTGGGGCTGAGAGACTTCAGAGAAGTGTGACTGGCCCAAGGTCACCCAACAGCTGCATGTGGAGGAGCGGGGAAGCGAACCCGGTTCACCAGATTATGAGACTACCGCTCTTAACCACTACACCACACTGGCCTCTTCCATATTGTTTTATCTAGCCCTCAACAAGGGATTCCACATGTCTTCAGGGTCCGAAGGTCCTGGAGAGCGCTGGGGGCACCCGCATCAAAATAGCTGCTATGGCGGGTTGGAGAAGCAAGACCCTTTGGGGGGCATTAATGCTGTGAGCCCCTCCATCGGAGCTCAGGTGGCTTAGA